TTCAGTAAAATGGTCATAACTTTTGAAGGAAGCGATTCGCACTCAAATCCTTTTAGAATTTTTACTAGGGCAGTATGTAGTATCTATCGACGAAGTTTCATTGAAATCGACGGGGACACCTGAAAAGGTTTCCTTGTACTTTTTTTCTTTAATATTCTTCATAAACTTTCAGTAGGTCATATGTCAACGTCTATATCGTTACCTTCTTAAAGTAATATTCGATTATTAAACAATTCATTGATAGTTCAAACAACCGTTTTTATTCTTTATATTTCGTTCTGCACACGCTGTTTTCATATATTTTATCCACTTCAATCCGGTTATTGAATGCCTAGTTTGACTGAACATATAACCAGTAGCTCGTGATGAGCGTCGAAGAAAGAAATAAGATAAATAATTATTGGTTTGTACTACCCTAGTTTTTTTGTACAATTATTCAACCATTGATTAAAAAAGTCTTGGGAAAAATCACGTTGGTTGTTTTCAAAAAAGTTTTCCTCGTATGCTCATGTATATATATATATTAGTACAAGAGAAGATATTATCCGATAATATGTCACTTGAAATATTAACATCAATACTCAAGACTCATTTAAAAAAACATTTGGTTAGGAATTATGTCTTGTCTGCATTTTGTACGTCTGAAGATTTTTGCTATGTTTCTAATGTTGAGAAGATGCGTTTTGGTTTTAGAAATTATTGTAATAAGTGACTCACTAAAGTGAAAATAATGAATACAAGATATGCTGACGAAGTTTCAGTAAGGTAGCTTCGAACTTTATTGAATATTGTGTATGTGAGATGAAGTTTTTGTCTGTCGAACACTTCTCTTCTTACTTTTGCAGTATAGCTAAATTTAATATTTCGTATCTTTCTTCTATCAACTTCTAGTTTTTTTTCTTTTTTTTAAAATTTACTCAGCTACGCAGACTGTAAAAAAGCGCTACCCATAACAACAGTAAAACATTTAAGATAAACAGCAGACGCTGAATGATTACAAACAAGAAAAAGAAATGCATATTTTGAAAAAAATAAATAAATTTCAAAAATGAGTCCACACACATTGATACTCATTTGTGTATGATGTGACGTGGTTGGCAGTTTTGAAAAGAAAAAGCTTGAATTATTTGCTACTTAATGTTTGGAAGAATCATTAGTTCCACAAGATAATCCAATATGAACATAAAAATTGAGCTTGAAAGTACACTATTTTATATTCTAGAGAGTATAATCTAGATCTCATTGAAGAGGCTACGTCAGTTATTGAAGAATAAGAAAGGTTTTTCAATACATGTAACACGTCAGATATATCCTGAAGTTTTCTTTTGATAATGTCTCAAAATCAAAAGAGGCGGCTAATACAGATGAAATTGCCATTAAAATACAACACGAACGATTTTTTTTATAAGTCAATCCGATTCACATAAATAAATGTACACAATCAGTTTGAAATTTTTTTATTGAACAAAAAATTGAACATCCTCGCAATAATTCAATAGAAAGAAGTTGATTCTTTCATTACTGCTACAAGAAAGTGTCTATCGCTCATATGCATCAATATTGTCGATATTGTTGTAAATTATGAGAGTATGAATAAAATTGAGAGTGAATGTAGATGAGACTTTTTTTTCTCACTCATATTCTCACCTAACCAACCTCACTGCTACTCTTATGACAAGTCATACAGTCACTATAATTTAAAAATAAAACCTGTTTTTTGAATTGGTCGCAAAAAATCTTCTAAACTACACATAATGTTGCTCGATAATCGAATTGTTCCAGTTTTAATGTCAGTAGGCCGTCTTCGTCTATTAATTTAATCCATCAATCAGAACTCAAAAGTTGTCACCACAATGTAGTCAGTGTGCTTAAGTTTAGCACATTTCATGAAACGAGTTGTCGGCTCTGTCTTTTTTCATTAATAAATACGTCAATCAACTTCGAAATTTGTTATCAAGGGATTTATTGTTCTGGTTATATACTTCGTCAAAAAAATTCTTAAAAGTCATTTTCTTCATTTTTATCTTGTAATGTTAATTTTGATATAATTTGTAAGGTATACTATGTCAAGTATTCATCCCTATCGATGTTTATGACGTGTCTTCATTGAGACATGTTCACATTTTCAATTAACAGATCAAATGCCTTTCCAAATAGTGCATTAAATTTAATTCATCACGTAACAACATATTAAATATGAATTAACTTTTCGACCGATCATGTTTCTTAATTCGGAATTCGATATTTTAGTGAAAACCAAGCTAAGACCTTGTACAGACTATAGAAATTAAGCGTAGATTAAGTAATCAAATTGCTTGCTTCACTTTTAATTCGCGCCATATATTTTTGACTTATTCTCTATCATCGTAAAATAAATATGCTCTTTTTTTTATAAATCATACGCAGCTGGATGTATATACTATATAATAATGTCATAACGAAGGTTTTTATTTAAAAATTTTACGGATACTTTAGATAGTTAACTGTTATCCAGTTACTTCTCACTATTTATCATATCTATATGAGTAATACAGAGACTACTGCGTTAGCAAAACCGTTGGAAATTGGTGTATCAGCCGGTAATAATGAAATATTTCAATCTGCTTCTCTTCAAATGAATCTTGATAGAATTATTATTATGAGATTTAATACCGAATAACAAACAGAAATAATAGTCTTTTTTGAAAAACAATGAGTAGTTGTTGCATCGAATGTATTGAGTACAGAACAATACCAGTGTAATGTTGATGAAGTTTAACAATTTTTACAAGATATGTTCAAACAAAATATTGAACGGCACAAACTGAAAACGTGAAGTTTTGAATGTTTCAGTTTTTTAAAATTTAGAATACTTGGAAATGAACGTTACTTATATTCTTAAACATGTAATAATCGACAAAATCTAAATATTTTATCGTGTGTTTCGAATATTGTTCGCTGATAATGAATTAATGGTCAATATAACAAGAGCTGGACCAATGCGACCAGCAAAGACTTTGTTTTCTTTTCCTTCAGTCAACAAAACACAGAAGATCGAGAAGAATGGAAAATAATATCAGAATGGCTTCATTTTGATATGAATCCATTAACAGGTCGAGTTACTACATATGGCTTTGAAAATGTTGCGGAAGGCCATTTTGATGGTAATACGGATCCACTCGTAGCACAAAACAAGGAAACCAATAATGATATGCATATAAGAGCATTACAATAAATATCAGCTTTAGTTGATTGTCGAAGAGGAAAAGATGATGGATTTCTTGCGATGCCTGGTTTTTAATATTTCCTTCAAACAGAGACTAAAAAACAATGAATAATTATGTTTAAAATAGAAATCAAAGTTGACATTTAACTACAGTTCAAATCTTAAAGATGATCTTATTTCAGCAACTCTTCCAAGATTTATTTTTTCAAGCTCTTTTTTGACTTCTCTATAAGTTCCATTATACATTTTATTATCAAATGAAAGCAATTAGGTTGAGAACAGACATCTAACTGAGTGTGAGGGCGGAAGACCAACTGAGGAATGAAAGCTAATTCATGAATACCATATTTCTATTTCAGTACAGAACAAAAGTAGTATATGATTTCAATAGATGAATCTTCTAGATTAAATAGATCGTAAAGAAAAATAAATCATAGTAGTACTTCTCCTACTTGAGAACATATTCAACGAATATCAATGCGACAAAGACGTTTAATTGTCTAAGATTCTCAATTACCACATAAAAGTTTGGCCACACATTCGAATGGTATGAGAATTGTTCAGTAATTACATATAGAATTAGTAATTGATGAAGTAATAGAAAATAAAAAATTAACTAAGCGATTCTAATTTATCTTTAATATAATTAGATCAGTAGTTGTTGTTATATTTTATTTTTTGTAAAAGTTCACGATGTATCTTGATAAAGGCTATGTGTAACAAGCAAACAAATACAATGTTTCTTTTATTCATATATATTTTATTTATACAGATGTCTTTTTCTTTAAAGTATATTCAAGAATCTTCTTCTATATTTCTTGTTAATGGTCCTAGTGGAATATTTGAAACATTCATAACTAAACCACAAGCAATAGCACCACGTTCTATTGTTTCTAAATCTGTTTGATATAAATAAACTTTTGCTCTAGCTACACGAAAATAAAAACCAATAGCAAATAAAATAAATGGACAACCAATAACACCTAGTGTAATAAGAGCGGCAATAGCTGCTGTTTGAGAAAAACCGCTCACTTTAATCCAAAAAATTAGACAAAGTTCAATAATAAATAAAAATAAACCAAAACCAGTAGAAGCAATCCATGCTATTTCAATATATTTATTTAATGATGATAATGGTTTACTATTTTCATTATTAATCCAAAAATCACTATTCCGTATCACACTTTTTATTTCAGGTAATATACACATTGACATAAGTAAAGCAAGTAAATGAATACCTACTAGAAGGCATGATATAATAGCATAACAAATGATAAGACCCTCATTAGATTTATTTTTTTCATAAGAATCTAATGATAATTCAACAATGGCTACCTTTAATATATATTTAAAATAAAAATTGAATTTGATATTTATTAAATAACTTACAATAGCAAATCCACTAAGTAACGCAGATGTTTCATTAACACTTTCAAGTTTTGATTTACGATAAAGTAGATTATGTATGCGTCGGTCCTCTTTAGATCCAGTTCCTAAAGACAAATATCAATATTTATAAAATATATGTTTTATATTTTTATCATAATGTTTTTCTAAACAGAAAGAACACTTGTAATAGGTAATAAAATATTGTTTAATGACAGACAATGCTAATATAAAGTAAAAAAAAAAAAAGACAAAGTTTCACTCACCTTTCTTTGATACATATAGTGAAATCTCCGACATGTTGCTTTTACTATTTTCTATATTTGTTGATATGAGTAAAGCATGATAATTTTATTAGAATAATCGATAAAGAACACTAATTTAATGCTGTGAATTCATCCTGCTGTTATAAGTATTTTTCGATTCTTTAAGTACTGTTACTTTTCTGATACACAGCAAGTAAATACTCAGATTAATATTTTATATTCTGAAGCAGTAGTAGTACTTAACCTTGCTTGCTCTTTTTCCTTTTGTTGTTTTTTGTATTTCGTTTGTTCGTTCTTTCGCTTGTTAGTATGCTGAATGATATATATATATATGTATCATAATAGGTAAATAAGCTTTGTAAACGACGAAAAGAAGCAATAAAAAAAATTTTCTTTTTGCTTTATGTCAGTTCTGATTGCATCTATAGATGCAAACAAGATTTATATTTCCTTTTCATAAAAGTCGCACATCAATAGTGCTTATTGAAGACAAAGAATAATCGATTATCATCGATGTATTATTGTCTAGATGCGAAAAAAACCTATAATAATAGCTTAATAAATCAAGCGAATAATGGGTCTTATTGAAAAAAATTTTGATTTAATGAAGCATATCGATCTTGTTACTATCTATTTTATTTAATTACTAACGAACTCCGAGAACAATGTTACATGTGCCGTATAGAAGAAAAAAAAACTAGGATATTTTTGAATTTTCATGCTAAATTACTCAAAAACAATCTTATGAAAATTACCTACCAACAAAACTTAAATAACTATCATCATCATCATCATCATCATCATCGTGGTCATCTCCATAAAGTTCACCGAATTTTCGTTTGATTGATGGTGAAGTATACCACATTACTCTTTTGTTTTTTTAATAAGAGTAGCACACATTTTCATTTTATGACTATATTTTCACAGCTGTGATACTTCACGTGTTATTCCCATTTGTAAGAAAGTATATCATCATGTGCAAAGAATCTTTATTTTATAAAAATAAATCATCGAAAATGTTTCTTTTTATATGAATCGTCATTATAGATTATATACGTAATTGTCTTGTTAATGTAAGTTTTTTTCTGTTGTATGTCATGTGAAAGTAATGTTACAATTTGAATAAATGAAATAATTCAATGTTGAGTAATCGTCTTTCTTAGTAATTGATACCAATGAGAAAATTTCAAGACGAGAAAAAAACCTCGAAAAATTTCTTTCTTTATTTTCATACGTAAAGAAATGAACATTGCTGATTGTTTGATTTTCTTTGTTGATTAATGTTTGTATATGTATTTTGTTTAGAATATATATTTTTAATTGTTATTTAGTTTTGTCATATGTCAATAATCATAGCAGAGTACTCGAGATAATATTTATATAGATGATTATTTGTAAAATTCTTCTTCTAAAAAATGAGTTATTGACACATAATAAACGTTTATCTTCATCAATTAAAAAAAAAACTCATCTATTGATTTGAGTTAATTATTCAAACATCAGTAGAATATTGTTAGAAATAGAATGATAGCATTCTTTATTGACAGTCTTGAATATATTTTCATACTAAAATGTTTGAAGAAGTCAAGGTCAATATCAATAACATGAGGCGTAGGTTTTATTTACACTACATGTATCCCTGGTATAATATATCTGATAGGTTTTGTCATTAGAAAACCTATCGTGACAACTCATAAACGAAAGCTGATTATGATCCATCATTAGCTATTCAAGATAAATATCTTCACACGCTACATAAATGAATCATTATTCTGATGGCAATTTTCTAATTCTATTGCATGTTAAAGTTATATGAATATTTTATGCATATTTAAGTATTGTGTATTTTATTGTCTCTATTTATGATGATATTATGAAGATGATCATTACTTATTTGATTCAATTGTGTTTTTTTGTTTTTGTTTTCTTGCAGAAAAGAACCTAACTGTAAGAAGAAAAATCGTTTAGATAGCTTGATTTAATGGTATTAAATAGCAAGAGAAAAGAAACACGATCCTATTTGATAGAAAAGTGAGTTAGGAAATTATTAAATCACTTACTAAGAAAATGTGCTGTTCATTTCAATCAACATCATGACTTGCGGATCGTGTTTGAACGGCACTTTTTTTTTCGCCTGACTGCTGTTATTTTTACAAAGTTGCACGATAACAAAGCCAACATAGAGTAGCTTTGAGATAAAGCACTCAGTTCATTCGCTCGTCTGTCTTTTTTTTGTCGATCGACTAATATAGCCGAATCAAGAAACTATAAACAATCGCTCGGCTCAGTATGGATGCTCGATTCATGCCATGCTGTTGATAATGATGGTAAAAGAACATTATGATCAGTTTTCTTCGTATCTGTCTCTCCTTTCATCTCTCTCTCTCTCTTTTCCTACTCTATTTTATCCCATTCAACAAGGTCGGATGCTTAAGAAAAAAAAGGGAACTTTTTGTCATCTACTGCTCATTCTTGTTCGTCTCATTTTTGTATTCCATTTCTTTTGCTGCCCTTCCCCCTCTCTCTCTCTCTCGTTTTCTTATTGTCGGTTTTTTTTAAATCGCTCTTCGTTGCTCTGCATAGCGCCCATGCGACTTCAAATATAGAGTGCAAAAGGCAAACAACAACAACGATCAAGTCAAACACATATACTCACAACATAATGAAATCATTTCCGTTAACTAGAGGTACAATTATAACCGTTACTGTAGTTCGTCATATTTGTCTTTGATTATTGTTTGGATGTGTGCATGATTTTCTTCTTTCAACAACAATTAAACAAAATTTAAAATATTATTATGAGCCATTTCGTACGACAATCAACACTTAAAACAAAATTTGCTACAACATTTATATCCAGAACACGCAAATTCGTACGTGAAGGTCTTAAAGGTAAGAATAAATATATAAGTAAAATAATCATTTTATATACTTGTGTAATTGACTTGAAGTTAAACAGATCGAAAGAAAAAATAAAGCTTATTTGTTATTACATTGACGCAATACAAAAAAAAAAAGAAATAAGAAACAAAAAAAAAGAATTTTTTTTTATTTATAGAAAAATTGAAAATATTTAAAGAAATATATTTGTTTAAGGAAAAGTTAGAAAACCAAGATTATTTAATATTCATTAATAATAAAATAGCTTTGAGTATATACATTAGTAATCTGCAGCGAATACAGATGTTCTCGTCATTATCATGAATTAGTTTTACTAAAATAGAATTTTTTTTTCTTTTTCTTGTAACGGATATCCGGTTTAGATGATAATTATCGTTTTCAGATTTCTCTAATTTATTAAAATAAAATTGTTGATGTCAATATTCCATCAAATATAAAAAAATATATATATATTGAAATAAAAAGAAAATATTCAAAATTGTCGAAATATACTTAAGTTAGTGCTTTGTTAAGTAGATCGACAGATGTTCATATAAAGTAGTAAACAATTGTTGATATACATCCATGTTAGTTCCAAATGACACTATACATAAGAAAATGATCAGATATTATTTTGATTAAAATCGACAAACGGTAACAGTTGTTTGAGGAACATAGTAAAGCACTTCTGGTGTTGGCATATATATGTATATAAATAGACTTGAACTTTTATAATATAATATATGGCTTTTAATTTAATATTGATTTATATATATATATATATATGCATATAAGTATGAATAAAAGAATATTTATCAATAATCGTCTTGTAATCGAAAGAACATAATTGACTCTCGACATTTCCTTCTTTAAAACAAGTACTTGTCGTCCTTTTTCGAAGAAGCTTTTCCTCAAGTGATTAATGTTAATTGTAGCAATAGGATGAAAAAGCACTTATTTATATGTAATAGGAGAATACGACTAATATTATTTTGTGTCTACTTACTCATTCTCTCGAGGTAATGTCTTTTCTATGAGTTTTGTGTGCATCATGTATATGAAAACTAAATTGAGCAAAATAACAATAACTTCCTTTAATTTTTTTTCTTTCTCACTGAATGTTTTTCGTGCAAATGCACATTGGAAAAATGAGGATCCTTGAACATGATATTATATATTTATGAACTGAATAATAGGTGAACTACTTTCATAGGAATTGCACTTCATCGGTCTGTATAATTTTGTATCTCTCCTAGGAGAGAGAGAGAGTTTATGTTATTTTTTATTAGATGTTAGATGTTTTTTATTAAGATCCCATTGAAACATAGAGACTAAGAGGAATGAAGCACGATATACAAAGAAATTAAAAACATTTTCTTTGTTCTGTGTCTTCTTATTGTCATTTACTTTCAAGTTTTCTTTCGGAGTACTGCATAGATTGAATTTCTTGAACTTGAACCCGAAAAACTTATTCGTCTATATATATACTAGACCAACTATTTCTATTGGATATATATGCATTCGAAAAAAAGCTTGCAACTTTTTCTAAAGGTATGAAATACACTTCGAACTGACATCAATTCAACAATAGTAGAGTATCGAGTATCTTATTTAAATTTTACTTAAACATTACGACAATAATTTTGAGTTGTTTTATAAAAGTATTCAATTAACATTAACCATTAGTGTAGAGTTTCAAAGTCATAATATTTATGTTGACTTTTGTCACATATTTGAGAGAGATTGTCTCAGACGAAAGTATTTAGTTAACATCTGTTACTCATCAATCTTCCATTTATAGAAAGACTTGGAATGAAAACTATTTTTTTATATTCTTTCCAGAGCATGTCTACCAAAAGGGCAAAAGTCTTCAGACTGATTCAATCACTAGTACATTGAATGTTATAGGTTAATGATATTGAAAATTTTAATAAAATAATAGAATAACATTGTCATGATTCCTTAATATCATCTAAGATAATATTACCCAAAATTTTATAGGTTTTTTCAAGTATGCTCATACTATGACTTACTTATGTTCTAATGAATTGAGTCATAATATGGTAGGGACGAACGATAAGTTGTAAAATCGTTATCATATATGTATATAGATAATATGAGTTAGTAACTTTATGGCATATTAATATTTATATCTATTGTTGATAAGTACTTAGAAAGCAGTAGATTGCATGAAACAGAATAAACTTAACACTTTATAAAGCTCCACCTGCAAGCGAAATATCCTAGTAAAAATCGTCTTTCCTTAGGTGTTTATATTATAGTAGATATATGAATATTACTGATTTTCATGTTTCAATAAATTCATACTAGTCTAGGTAATATAAGTTTTTATGTCAATAGCAACATGAGATCTTTCATATTTATCATTATCTAAAGTATGTGGTGATATGATGTTCTTCTTCAACATACAGATGTACATATCTGTAAGACATACGATATTTCATAAATCATACGTACATGACTATTAATCACTTTTTTTTGTGTTTTGGTTATTAACGATTGGCATCTAAAAATGGGATGATAATGATAGTAAAGCAACAAAATAGAAAGAGAAAAGATGAAAAAAAAAGCCAGAAATACATTGGTAACTATTTCCAAGACTCTTCTGATATTAAATCATGCAAATGACTATACGATGCATCTGAATAGACATGTCTGTCATTCGATCAGAGGTCAAATTACTACATTTAAAAGAAAAAGATTCTATATTGTTCGTTGACAGTCATCATAAATAATTCTTCATAGATCTTTTTGTTTTTATCATTCTATATCCGACAAAGAAAACAAAAAAAAAATTTTATTTTTTGATTATTAGTTTTTTCTTTAAACTTTCTTGATCAATTAAATTGATCATCGTTGATACATACCACTATATATATGTGGTAAGTTATTGATTTCTTTTTCTAGATTTTCTTCTTCTTTTTTTTTTAAATATAGTAAATAATAATACCTGATATATGTGAG